TCTATGACGTGTAAGTCCTTGTCTCCGTTTGTCCTTCCACTAGTAAGTCCTTGTTGCCACTCGTCTTTCTATGACGTGTAAGTCCTTGTCTCCGTTTGTCCTTCCACTAGTAAGTCCTTGTTGCCACTTGTCTTTCTATGACGTGTAAGTCCTTGTCTCCGTTTGTCCTTCCACTAGTAAGTCCTTGTTGCCACTTGTCTTTCTATGACGTGTAAGTCCTTGTCTCCGTTTGTCCTTCCACTAGTAAGTCCTTGTAAGCCACCACCTCCTCTGTTCTTTCTATTTCTTGTACCCTCTGCTTCACAACCTGGATATATTTTTTTGTTATATAGGTGAAAAGTGATCTTATTTCATTTGCATAAGAATAAAAGCTACAGTTTTGAGTGTTACTGATTGAATTTCTCCCTATTTTACATGCATGGAAATATTCCGTCATTGAAACACACAAAACAATATCTGATGGAAATCTTGTATCCCTTATTCAGGCATGAATCAATAAGCAATCAACTGTTTTGCTATATAACTGATTTTTAAACAGATTCTGATTGGCCTAGAGCCCTCCACAACCCTGTCAATAAAAATAGATAATAACCGTTTTTTGTGAAATCAGGTGAATATAAAATTCTAAAAATAGAACCTGGAAATAACCTAAACATCCGGGCAATCCAAACGCTTCCTTCACAGTAATAATGGCATGGATGACAGCTCTTTTAAACAAATATTTGCCACCCTCAGTAATGAAATCAATTTTACCCAATCGTTAACATTGTAACAAGTATGAGTTGTACAATTTAGATATGTGGCCCTTCTCCAGCAGTACAAGGCCATGTCGTTATATGTTATAGATATATGGCCCTACTCCAGCAGTACGAGGCTATGTCGTTATATGTTACAGATATGTGGCCCTTCTCCAGCAGTACGAGGCTGTGTCATTATATGTTAAAGATATATAGCCCTACTCCAGCAGTACTAGGCTGTGTCATTATATATTACAGATATGTGGCCCTACTCCAGCAGTACGAGGCTGTGTCGCTATATGTTACAGATATATGGCCCTACTCCAGTAGTACGAGGCTGTGTCGCTATATGTTACAGATATATGGCCCTACTCCAGCATTACGAGGCTGTGTCATTATATGATACAGATATATGGCCCTACTCCAGCAGTATGAGGCCATGTCATTATATGTTAAAGATATATGGCCCTACTCCAGCAGGACGAGGCCATGTCATTATATGTTACAGATATGTGGCCCTACTCCGGCAGTACGAGGCCATGTCGTTATATGTTACAGGTATATGGCCCTACTCCAGCAGTACTAGGCTGTGTCATTATATGTTACAGATATATAGCCCTACTCCAGCAGTACGAGGCTGTGTCGTTATATGTTACAGATATGTGGCCCTACTCCGGCAGTACGAGGCCATGTCGTTATATGTTATAGATATATGCCCCTCCTCCAGCAGTACTAGCCATGTCGTTACATGTCACAGATATATAGCCCTACTCCAGCAGTACTAGGCTGTGTCATTATATATTACAGATATGTGGCCCTACTCCAGCAGTACGAGGCTGTGTCGCTATATGTTACAGATATGTGGCCCTACTCCGGCAGTACGAGGCCATGTCGTTATATGTCATAGATATATGGCCCTACTCCAGCAGTACTTGCCATGTCGTTACATGTTACAGATATATAGCCTTATAGATATATGGCCCTACTCCAGCAGTACGAGGCTGTGTCGTTATATGTTACAGATATGCGGCCCTACTCCAGCAGTTTGAGGCCGTGTCATTATATGTTACAGAAATATGGCCCTACTCCAGCAGTACGATGCTGTGTCATTATATGTTACAGAGATATGTGGCCCTACTCCAGCAGTACGAGCCTGTGTCATTATATGTTACAGATATATGGGTTATATGTTATAGATATATGGCCCTACTCCAGCAGTTCTAGGCCATGTCGTTATATGTTATAGATATATGCCCCTCCTCCAGCAGTACTAGCCATGTCGTTACATGTCACAGATATATAGCCCTACTCCAGCAGTACGAGGCTGTGTCGTTATATGTTACAGATATGTGGCCCTACTCCAGCAGTACGAGGCTGTGTCGCTATATGTTACAGATATATGGCCCTACTCCAGTAGTACGAGGCTGTGTCGCTATATGTTACAGATATATGGCCCTACTCCAGTAGTACGAGGCTGTGTCGCTATATGTTACAGATATGTGGCCCTACTCCGGCAGTACGAGGCCATGTCGTTATATGTCATAGATATATGGCCCTACTCCAGCAGTACTTGCCATGTCGTTACATGTTACAGATATATAGCCCTACTCCAGCAGTACGAGGCTGTGTCGTTATATGTTAAAGATATATGGCCCTACTCCAGCAGTACGAGGCAGTGTCATTATATGTTAAAGATATATGGCCCTACTCCAGCAGGACGAGGCCATGTCATTATATGTTACAGATATATGGCCCAACTCCAGCAGTACGAGGCAGTGTCATTATATGTTAAAGATATATGGCCCTACTCCAGCAGTACGATGCTGTGTCATTATATGTTACAGAGATATGTGGCCCTACTCCAGCAGTACGAGGCTGTGTCGCTATATGTTACAGATATGTGGCCCTACTCCGGCAGTACGAGGCCATGTCGTTATATGTCATAGATATATGGCCCTACTCCAGCAGTACTAGCCATGTCGTTACATGTCACAGATATATAGCCCTACTCCAGCAGTACGAGGCTGTGTCGTTATATGTTACAGATATGCGGCCCTACTCCAGCAGTTTGAGGCCGTGTCATTATATGTTACAGAAATATGGCCCTACTCCAGCAGTACGAGGCTATGTCGTTATATGTTACAGATATATGGCCCTACTCCAGCAGTATGAGGCCATGTCATTATATGTTACAGATATGTGGTCCTGCTCCAGTAGTACGAGGCTGTGTCATTATATGTTACAGATATATTGACCTACTCCAGCAGTACGAGGCTGTGTAATTAAATGTTACAGATATATAGCCCTACTCCAGCAGTACGAGGCCATGTCGTTATATGTTACAGGTATATGGCCCTACTCCAGCAGTACTAGGCTGTGTCGTTATATGTTATAGATATATGGCCCTACTCCAGCAGTACTAGCCATGTCGTTAC